TTAAAATAAAAATATAATAATTAATAAAATCTCATATATATTCTTAATTAATAACAACTTAAATAAGTCTTATTTTTAAGCCTGACCCATCGGATCAAGTCGTTTCTGCTACTCTTGTAAGGTTCACTCCTCTTCCTCTAAAACAACGATTCAATCCGGCCCCATGTTAAAAATGTTCAAAAAAAAATAAGTCTCATTTTTAATAATATATAATGTAATTATCTTTATAAAAAAATAAATACATAAATAAACTTCTTTAAAAACTAGCTAAATTTGACCCCCTTTTTTCTTGATTTTATATAATTACAACATTTTAAATTAAGAATTACCTCTACTACGAAGGAATAAATTTTTAGTGGTCCCTCTCAATAACATTTTTCCCCCGTTGGAATATGAATACATCGAATTGTTAAAAAAAAATTAAATAAATGACAATGAAAATAATACAAATGAAAAAGGCCAAAAAAAAATTTAATGCAAAATGTGACGAGATGTTGACGTTGACGCATTTCTAAAATGGACGGCACGGACAGGAGTCTAACGTGCGCACCACCGACCAAAAGAAACTGAAAAGTGAATTACCGAATTGCAGAGAGATCCGCGGCGCCCTGAGCTATGGCGGAAAGCGACGACGATGAAGGCTTCGGCGATTTCAAATTCGCATCATCATCAAACTCAATCAACGGCCCGGGACATTTCTCTGCCAATAACATCAGCAATACCGATGACGATGACTGGGGAGATTTCATCAACTCCTCTTCTCACTCCCGCGCCGGATCACTACCCGCCGAGCTGTTTGACCCGTTCGGTATATCGTCACCTCAGGCACAGCCGAACTCGGTGCCGAGTGGATCCGATTCTGCTCCGACTGGATGGATCAAGCCGAGTGGAGCCTTACCGTTATCGATTTTTGGGGAGGAGGAGGGGGAAGAGGAGGAGTCAGGTGCGGCGGATCCCCCGTTTAATGGCGCAAATGGTTTGTTTTTCAGTCCTAGAAAGGTTGACAATGCGAAGACGAATCAATCGGATTTGAATGATTTGATTTTTAATTTGTATAAACATAGCGTGAAGAACAACGATGGAAACGGACCGAAATCATCAGTTTTGGATCCAAAGAATTCGGTGGATTTGGATACTAATAACAAGACTTTGAATCAAAATGAGCATGATGAGTGTTTGCATGGGTCGACTCTGAACTTGAATGGAAAGCATGAGTTGAATTTCAGCTCAACTGGATCCATTTCAAAGCAGGACGAATTGAATTGGGGTTCAAATGGATTGAATTCAAATGTAAATTCGTCCAGTTTGGATGGAAACGGGACGAATTTACGTACAAATTTGTTTAAAGAGTTAAATTTGAGTTCAAAGGGCCTTGCTCCAATGCAGAATGGATTTAAGTTGGATTTAAATGGATTTGATTCTAGTTTAGTTCATGGAGACGTGAAGGTGGATGGCGATGATGGTGGTGATGATGATGATGATGGGTGGGAATTCATGAGTGCAGATTCCAAGGCGAAATCGGAAACTGAAATGTCTAATGTTAAGGTATGATATTGTGATTTCAATTTGTATTTTTCAGCTTAGTTGCAATTTGGGAGCTAAGAATTTGCAGGAAATGGAAATTTTGATACTTTTGTTTGCCAAGATATTACCTTCGAATTAAGGTCTTTAGTGACTGAAGAATGATTCAGAAATATTGTTATTTGATGCTTGGGCTAATTTTGTTTCTGGGGAAAGATTTTGGCTCAAATGACTTAAAGTTAGTATTTTGTGGGATATGGGTGTTGATTAAACAATTTTTATTTTTATTTTTTACCAGAGGGAGGAGAATAAAGCTCAAAATGGCTCAATATCAAATTTCAATGCGTCCAATTTCAGCTGGAATGTGTTGGGTGAGGATAACAGCAGGTTGAATTCCAATGTGAATGGGGTACATTTGAGTTCAGCTGGTGAAAATGAAGAATCCAGTGATGATGATGGATGGGAATTCAAAGCTGCAGAATCAGAAATGTCCTCTAGAAATGACAGCACAAAGGTAAAGAATTTTCCCTCTTCAATTTGATGGACCTTTTCAGTTTTTGCTTCAGGTTATTGTTAATGAGGGATCCATAACAAAAGATGTTAATATTAAATTTGATGCAGTACGTGCATTATTTATTTATTTATCTTCTTCATTTTCTCATGGAAAACTTGATTAGGGGTAGATTGGCCTTTATGATCATCAAAAAATATGAAGAAATATCAAGTTAGTCCATGTTGATCAAAGTTAGCTTGAGTTTACAAGAAGTAAACAAAGTTAATGGAACCAGATAAGTAGTTCTGAGACATATTCACCCAATAAGCAATCATCATTTTTTTATTTTTAAACTGTAATGTTAGATTAAAGTTGGCAGATATGTGGATGTTTATGGGTTATATGCCCCAAGCAATGAATATTGATTGAAAGAAAGTCTTAAAAGGTTTTCCTGCATTATCTCCATAATAAAATTAATATTATCTGGATAACAAAAATAAAATGATTTCCTAACTGTTAGGAATCAGTCAGTTTTGAATGCTTGAAGAACCATAAGTAAACTAGGAAGCAAATCCCCATGCATTATTTCACCATTAATTATTAGATAACTTTTGTTCTCATAGCTGATGTAGTGATCCTAGAGTATATTAAAAGAGTGATTAATTATTAGGTTTTTTGTAATTTGCTTCCAATCAGATATAACTTTTCTTATATGTTATTTAAGGATTTGATTTGTTTCATCACTCTGAACTTTCCTCCTTTGAAGGTCGATGGGGAAGTACAGGAACATCAGAAAGGAGCTGAATACATTTTTGGGTTTGGAAATGGCACAAATGGTCCCAGTGAGTTTTTTGTCACACAAGCTGGGGTCTCTGGCACTCCTTATGATTGGGGGTTCAGATCTAGTTTTGGCTCTAGTTCCAAAGGTCAAAGCATGCAGGATAACAAAAACAACGGATTCATTTCTTCTGCAGTTGATGATAATATTGATTCTGATAAAAGTTGCTGGGCCTTTAAGGATGGGTTTTTAGAAACTAGATCAGAAGATAAGGTGAAATTTTATATATATTTGATCTCTTTGTCATTTTCTCTTGAGGGCAAACTGTATGCAGCATTAAACTTTAACCTTGCTGTTGTAGGAAGAGCCCAAGGTTGCCAATGGTTCTGCTGTAGAAGACTTTTCATTTGATGGTAAAATCCAGGTATTGGCTCATTCATTTTGCAAAGTGTTTCGGTAAAATTTGAGTGGCATTTTGTTGGTCTGAACTGAGGGTTGGAGTAGGGAGGAAGGAGGAGTGGAAGCAGGGTTAACTATTGTTGCTATCCTGAGTAAAAAATATAGTTTTTTTGTTTTGTGTTTTGAAAAAGGTTGAAGTCATTGAGTGTCCTAGTGATGCATGCTTAAAGAAATAGTATAGTGATTCAGGCTTTGGTCGGTAATTTTTCTTCTTCCAGTTAATTGTTTTCCCTATACCATATGCTCAGAGGAACGAGGGAAGGTTGGAGAAACACAAGAGAGCTTTGCCCCTTTCCATTTTTGGTGATATAGAACCAGAAACAGATGATCCTTTGACATATCATGATGTTTCTACTAATAGGCCTGCTTCCTCAAAAGTTGGCATGAAGAATCCTGGTTCCAATATGCCTATCAAAGATCTTATATCAACCTTATACAGTCAAGCTGAGCAGAATGCTTCCATTAATCATAGGGATGGTCCAAATGAAAACAAATTTGGTTCAACCCAGAGAGAGGTGGCACCTGATTTGATACAAGCTGATGATGGTTTTGATGATGATTCATGGGAATTCAAAGGTGCCCTTTCTGGAAGTGGAGTCAAAAATCATAGGTCTGTGCTTGGTGTTGGAGATTCATTTAAATGGTCCTTGACAAAAGGAGAGATGAATGATTATGTGGATTTCTATTTGAAGTTGAAGGATGAACTGTGCTTTGTTGCACTTTCCCATGTTGACAGTTTGAAGGTTGGTAGGGTTATTAAGTTCATTTGTCACCTTCTCCATTTGCTTTGCATTAAGGTTTTAAAGAATATTTTGCCCCTGAAATCTTCCTTTTATTAGAAAGTTCAGAGTTCTGCTCCTGCTGGTGGAGATGCTGAAATAGAAGGGCTTGAGAAGGAAATCCAGGTTGTTATTTTTTCCCTCCTTGTTGATCATTGTTCAGAATATATCTTTAGCTTTCTGTTCAGAAGTTGAATACAAAAATTAATTGCAAAATGAATGTACCAAAGCTTTTTATGGTTGTTATATTTGTACATTGCTTTCATGTTTATGAGTTTGTTTCTGGCACAATCGAGAGAATTGTCATAAGTAGAAAATAAATAATTTAAGATAAAAAAGCCATATTATCCCAACAATCCCTCATTGGCAAGACCTCTATTTTACACTTTTTTAAAAACTTGAAGCAATTTTAAATTTCATAACACTGTTAATATTTTGGATTTATTGTTTCATTGTTTGTTTGATTAGGATCTATAGATATTGTATCTTGTATCCATGTGGTACCTCTCAGCATGTGTCTTTTATTTTTGATTAACATATAGTATATTGTATACTAGGATGAGTAATATTATTTAATTTTTTTTACAAAACATGTCACAGATGTTGCTGAGAGTAGTTCTTTGTAATATTGCTTGGATAATACCAGTGTATTCCCTCCATGGCTGCAACATATAACCAGTTTAAGTACAGGATACTGTTTCTCTCTTGATCTACACTGATTATCTTTTCTTGTTCCTGCTGCAGGATCTTTGTGATGTCACGCACAAAGATGGTACGATAACCAAGAGAATCCCCTCAGAGCATAATCCATCAAGAAGTGTTTTCCTGAATGAATTTTGTAAGATTCTGCAGGAAGAAAAGTTCCAAGTGCTTGAGTTGGAATACCACTTATCAGAAAAACTGCCACTGGTGTGTTTCTTTTGTTGTCAGCTCTTTACTTTTTTTCTTCTTTTTTGTGGGGCCCTTGTTAGCTCTGTACTTCATATTTGCTGAGGTTTTTGCAGTTGAGATTTTTATGTTGCGGAAAAAAAAAAGCTTATATGGTAGTTAGTTATATTGGATTTCTTAAAAGTATTTTATTGCAATATGGAGTTAGCTAGAAATTCCTGATTTTAAAAGCAAATCCTTGTTTTACCTGATGTCCTTTTTGCCTATTTTATAATAATTTGATTGAAGGAATGAAGAGAGAGAGAACAGAGATGTAAGCAGTGTGGAGATGGTCATTGGATAGCTGTTAATGCTCACTATTTACTGTCATTTGGATTTTGAAGCTGCCATTTTCCTTTTTATTATTTTGCAATTGTTCTTATATTGGGGAGGCGGTGTGGGTGTGGGTGTGTGCAACTGTGTATTGTCTCTTTTGCCTACTGAATATCTACAAAGTGGTTGAATGGCCTCCTGTCTGCAGGGCTTTATCAAACATTGTTATGGGAATTGATATTATTGAGTTCAGATTAATAAACATCCACCACATGATGCTCCTTTACATATATTTAAACACTCATCATTTTGTAAATGCTTGCATCTTTTTATGGCAGTGTTTCCCTTTTCACTATTTTTTGATTCGAGATTGTTCTGCTTGGTGGCTTCTCTGGTTTCACACCATGATGCTAACTTGCATTTCGGCTTGACTAGGCAGAGAAGGATCTAAAATCAGCAATTGAACTCTTAAAACATGCGGCATCAACATTAAAGATTCTAAGCCTGGGATCAATTGAGGAGCAGTATGGTTATGTTTCCACATGGCTGCAGATTGTCTCTACTTGCACTCAAGAGTTGAAGCATGGTTCTCTCATTTGGAAGCGGTCACTAGAGAAGAACATTCACACTCAAATATTAACAAATCCTCAAGGTACCATTTCATTGATTTAATAGAAATGGTAGCATGGCATACTATATGCACCATATAACTCTACCGTGGTTGATATGATATTTTGGCTTGTACAGGCAGACAGTACATCCATGCCCTTGGAGAAATTTACAGAGTCATTGAAATCATTGGGATTTCAGCCAAACTTTTCAAGCCTTGGATACTGTTTAGTTCTGCTAATTCTACTGGCATATTTGATCTTTTAAGGGAGTGCTCTATGTTGTGGTCAAATACAGGACTCCAAGATGCATGTCAGAGCATGTCTGATCTTGCTCATTCAGATTCTGAAGCAATCAAGGCTTTACTTGGTTCCATCATGTATATTCACAATCTTGATATGAACAAACTTCATAATCACATCATATCTGGCAAAGAACCAACCTGCCATCTTTCCCTCTTGACTGCTGGGACAGTACCAGGTATGCAGATAGAAAAAAGATAGTTATAACTTTTCAATATGAAAAAAAAAAAAAAAAAAAAAGTACAACAAACAGAAGAAGAAAGCAATTAGCCTGAAGGCAAGAGCATGAAAGATGTCTCTTCTCTTTGTTGCCTAAGGATTTAATGTTAGTGATTACCAGCTTTGAAACCCTGACCACTTAGTTTTTCTTTTTCTGGATATCCTTATGAATTTGAGGTCCATCATGACAAGAGGCAACAGATAAATAGCTGAAAGCTTTACTTGTGAATTGATCTTAGATGATTAACCTGATTTACTGAGAAGAGTTTCCAACTTATTCAACGGCTTAATTCCATGAAGCATGAAACCTGAGTGTTTGGATTAACTTTACCAAGACTGTTCTTTTATCATTTAGGCAATATAATTGTAATTGTACTATTGTGGTTTGAATCTTGACCACTTTTTACAGGTCGCCATATTGATTTCTAACATGTTCATGAATATCCTGAACCAGGCATGAAGATGGTGGCGTGGAATGGGGAGCACTACTTTTTGACAATGGCAAATCTGTGGGCAAATCTACTAAGTTGTGACCCTCCAAATCTGCCTCACATACTTGCTAGCCAATCAGCACCCACAGGAATTATGTAGGGAAATTTATTGATTTCCTGATGAACGTAGAATTGCTATTCCATTTATGTGGAGCTTTTGCAACATCGCCACACTTGCACTTGTGCAAGGATACAACTCGGTAAATTTTCATGACCTCACTAGATGCATGCTGCTCACAGTCTGATTAGGCATCGTCTCCGAATCTTTTCTCTTTTGCTTCATCAGTAGTCATTCTTTTCATGAGAGCTGTAGATAGCACCAAATGTAGAAATATTGTATAATTTTTCATCAAGCTGTATCTTGTTATTCATTCCCAAACTGGGTGAATCAAATAAGCACCCCATCCCCATATACCTAGAGACAGTCATTAAGCATAACTAAGAGACATGTGTCTCATCGTGTATTTCACTCATCAAGCGGTGAAAACAATGAAGATGGAAAATGGGAAACTTTTGTTTGGGTTTTTCTTCCCCCATTTTTTCAAACTTTATTTGTACAAAGGAAGTATTCCTTTCCATTCTCTTTATTCACTTTAGTTGTTGGGTATGTTGCTCCAACGTAAGACCTTCGGTAGTTTGATGAATCCCTCCTATTAGAATGAATTATAATTTAATAGGAAAGTAAAGTGAAGAGAAGAAGCCATTTTCTTTCTAAGCAACATTGGTAATGCAATAAAAGGAATGGAATAAAGGGTCTAATTGTTAGGTTAAATTCAACCTAGGAATGTGTTCCAGTTGAATTCGAAAGGAATTGGTAGGTAGCCTTTGGCACTGGAAAAAACGTAACATGAAAATTTCAAAGAGTTTGCATAAAGGATGATATAAATTAATAGAATTGTCTACCAGAAGTCATCGACTAATGATGAAATAAATGTGTTTTCCATGTCAAAGACTAGACTTGATATACAGTTCCTGATGAAATCAAATCCCTCATTCACCATAGAGGTAATGGGAAAATAAAAATTCTATAAAAGGATTTCCAGCTTAAAATGCAGTTGGATGGAGACGCAAAATAAAAATATCTCCATCATCATTTGAGTAGGACTATTCCAATAAAAATTTGTTAGGTATTTGTAGGTGAATGGGTCGGTCTGTAGGTCCTCGTGTTCCAAATGTTGTAAAAAGTTAATGGTTCTAATTGAGAGGCTTTTACCCTTTTATTTTTTTATGGTTAAAATATTTTTAAGATAATTTTTATATATTTTAAAATT